CGAATCACCGCTGGCTTTCAACCAGTGCCCCGCGATTGTCCACAGGAGATTGCGGCAGGAAGAGGAGGGATGGAGGAAGGAAGCGGAGGAGGAGGCGGAGGAGGAGGAGAAGGAGGAGGAGGAGGAATAGGACCACATGAACATTCACTATGCATCACAGATGCTGCAACGCACCGTCCTGTCCCAAGTCCCCTCCTCATACGTTTGTGCAAGTTTTCTTTCCACTGCAAGAGGCTCCCCCGTGAAAGACCACCCTGTGGGCCTGCCATTCAGGCCAGAGCTCCGTCTTGACGTGGAACTGCCTTGCACCATTCTAGTGAATCTTAAGGGCTGCTCTTACTGTGGCACAGCTGTCTCTTACTCCCATCAAATAGGCGGAAGTCTCAAGCGGTAGTCCTTGTTTGAATAATCCTGGCGAAGGACTCAACCATGTGCAGTTATGGATACCGTGATATGGCGCCGCTTTGGTGGAGCTCCCTGTGAGGCCACGATCCGTGTGAGGGGTGCGCCAAAAATTTGCGGCACCGCCGTTCGAATTTCGCCACTGGGGCCTTCTGTGGAGCTCCCTATGGAGCCACGAACCGCCTGAGGGGTGTGCCACAATTGGGCGGCGCTGCCATGTGGACCCTGCCGCTGGTGCCTTCGGTGGAGCTTCCTGTGGGGCCACGAACCGTTTGAGGGGTGCCCCAACCCTGCCGCTGGGGCCTTCGGTGGAGCTCCCTACGAGGCCACGAACCGTGTGAGGGGTGCGCCGCCATGTGGACCCTGCCGCTGGGGCCTTCGGTGGAGCTGCCCGTGGGGCCACGAATCGTGTGAGGGGCGCGCCCAAATGGGGCGGCGCCGCCATGTGTGCCCTGCCGCTGGGGCCTTCGGTGGAGCTCCTTACGGGGCCACGAAGCGTAGCATTGGGTGCGCGGATGGCAGAGGCATGAATGGGAGGAGGGAGGGGGGGGAGGAGGCAAGTTAGGTGCACTCGCGTCATATCTGACGTCCTACCCATCCCTCCCATCCCTTGCCATGGCGTAGATTTCTTATCTATTCGCACAGCCGGATGTCGAGCAGGGCAATGATCCCGAGAGGGTGCGCGATGCATCGTAGAGCACAGCATAGCAGGGCGTAGAAGAACACGGCAGAGTGTAGTATGTCATAGCGTGGCGTGGCGTTGCGTAGTGAAGAATTGCAACACAAAGCATTACACCGCAAATAATGGCATCGCACAGCGGCACATAATAGAACATGCCATGGCATGGCGTTGAAGATCAACGCGTAGCATGGCATAGCACGGCGTGGCACTGCGTAGTCAAGCAGTGCATATCCCAGCATTGCAGCTGAAGGCATGGCATCGCACAGCAGAACACCACATGCCATTGCATTACACGCCGTGGCATGCCCACCAACGCCGTGCACCGCGGGCGGGCGACTGCCGCCAGCGACGCCTAGGTGCAGGCATACATCGAAGCAGCGGCGCGAGACTCGCCGCCTGCCAAATCGTCAACACGCTCCGGAGCAGTTGATCCTTTTCTCCATACCGCCACCTGCATTTCTTCATGTTCGACTTTTTCTCCCACGTGCCGTTTGTCTCCTGATCCCTCCTCCTCCTCCTCCTCATCCTCCTCCTTCTCCTCCTCCTCCTCCTTTTCCTCGTCCTCCTCCTCCTCCTCCCCCTCCTTCCTGCTCGGTTTCATTTTGCCCTCCCGCGGAGGCCACCTGACGGGCACGTGGTTGCCAGCGACTCCGCCGCACCTGGGGCCGGCTGTCAAATGGCGCCAGTCACTTGCCTCCCCCTGTGGGCTCCACGCCCCGGGGGGGCCAGGGGACCGCCCTTCTCCCCTTTCCCCTCTCTCCTCTCGTGTCCTCTTCCTGCCCTCGCCCCCCTCCCTCCCTCCGTTCTTGTCGCCGTCGTTGTCGCTGGGGGCGGTCCCCTGCTTCCCCTGGGGCTTGTGGCCCCCCCAGGGGTGTGGCGTCTGCAGCAGCGGTCTGGAGAGCGCTCGGCCGATAGCGACGCTCGGCGGGAGCTGTCCTCCTCGCTTTCCTCCCGTTCCTTTCCCTTTCCCCTTGCATGCCGTTGTGCTCCGTACTTAGCAGGTTGCGTTTGGCAGCCCTCCAGCGCGCCACGGCTTTATGGCCCCGCTTCGTAGTGTACCGCTCGTTTGGTATTCTGACTCGTGGAGCCTTGTGGCTGTGAGCGTGTCTTCGCCATACCTCCGATTTGTCTCTTCATCCGGGTCTTCCTTCCTCCGCCTTCTGTGCTGATTCTTCCCGTGAAGGCAAATTGTGCGATTGCCGAGGAGTAGACCCGAAGGTGTACGCACGCGCGGGTATTTTTGTGCGAGAGTTTCGTATTTTCCCTCTCTCTCCCTCCCTCCTCTTCCTCCTCCTCTCCTCCCTCTGCCCCTCTGGATTGCGCTGTGCGTGTTGGATTATATAAGCGGCCGTTTGGGCCGCATGGGTGATCCGCACAGCGCCCTTGCCCCTTCGCCTCCTCCTCCCCCTTCCGCCGCCCCTCCTCGTCCTCCTCCCCCCCGCGGTTGTGCCCCCCTTGTCGTCCCGTCCCAAAGCGGACTCACAGGGACCATTTTGAGTGGTTAGTTTTCCACGTGTTTGGCAAGCGCAGGCCGTCCAGACCGTTACGGCGTGGCTGTGAAGCTCGCCCTGTGGCTTCTCATATGCTTGTCCGAAAAAAATACATTTGGAAAACACCGAAGCAAAAACCCAACTCCTGGGAATCCTGTGTGTAAAAGACAGCACGCGGAGGGGGGCCGGACATCTTCCGGACGTCATCAGGGGCCCAACACCACAGGATGGTTGGGAAAAAAGAGCCGATCTCCATCCGTGCACGTGCTGCATCAGTTCAAATTCGTGGTCTAAGTCCAAGGTGATTTTGATCGAGAGCCCCCTTGTGGAAAGGAGCCGTCGTACATGTTTGCAGTTGTTGCACACGCTTAAGACGAATGTGCGTGGCGCGAGTGCGAGAAACTCATTTTGAAGAGGAACCGCCTATCATCCGTGCAGCTGCTGCAAGGTTGTAAGACGAGTGTGCGAAATCCTGAGGTAAGAGCCCCATTCTGGAAACTACCCCCTCCATCCTTGTAGCTGTTGCAAGATTGTATGACGAATGTGCGTGGCGCCGAGGCGAGAGCCCCTCTTTGAAAACCACTTCCTCCATCCTTCTAGCTGTCGCAAGCTGGTAAGACGAACGTGCGCGGCGCTGAGGCTGGAGTTCCATTTCGAAAACGACCTTCCCTCTATCTTGGTAGCTGTTGTAAACTTGTAAGACGAATATGCACGGCGCTGAGGCGAGAGCCCTATTTTGGCTCCGCATTCATCCTTGTAGTTGCTGCAAGTTTGTCAGACAATTGTGCGCGGCGCTGAGGCGAGAACTCCATTCCGAAAACGACACTCCCTCCATCTGGGTAACTGTTGCCAGCTTGTAAGACGAATGTGCGCGGCGCCAAGGCGAGACCTCCATTTCGAAAGCGACGCCCCTCCATCATGGCGGCTTTTGCAAAGTTGCAACCTTGCAAGCCGAATGTGCGCGGCGCTGAGGCGAGATCCTCATGTACCCCCCCTTCATCCGCGTAACTGTGGCCCGTTTGTATGGCGAACGTGTGCGGCTCTTATCGGCGAGAGCCCTATTTAGGAAGCCATCCCCCCTCCATCCTTGCAGCTGTTGCAATGTCCGTGCTTCCGGGTTGTAAGTGGTGGGAAAGTCTCAGGCGAAACGCCCAGCTCGCCCTACCGACACTCCTGGGGCTGCGACAGGGAGGAGTTACCTCTACGAAAACGGATGGAGGATCGGAGAGGCTTGTGCATTGGTGAGTAGGGGGAGTGCGGAGGAGGACCGGTGCGGAGGAGGGGGATTGCACCGGAGGGAAGTCAGGAGGAAGAGGGTGAGGGTGAGGGTAAGAAGGAGGGGGATGAGGAGCAGCATGGGTAAGAGGAAAGGGAGAGCTGGGGGGCTCCCCGGAGGGGACGCCCCCGGTTGAACCAGTCTGTCGCGATGTGGCGCAGCAGGGAGGATGAGGAGGAGGAGGCGGACGAAGAGGATGGGAAGAGGTTTAAGGCCCGCTTCAGTTCAGCGCCCTGCCTTAATCGGCGCCGGTCTCAAACACGCCCTCCTTGTCGTCAACCTGGCTCTTCTCCTCCTTTCCCTTCCTTTCACCTTCCTCTTCCGCATCCTCCTTCTTGAATGCGTCCTTGAATGCGTCCTCCTCTCCTTTCCTTTCACCTTCCCTCCTTTGTCCTCCCTCTTGAATGCGTCCTGAAGGCTTGGTGGAGGCTTCTTTGGGGGCTTTGCCAGGCCTTTTTGAGGGCCCTCTGGGGTCTGTTGGGGGCCTTGGGAGCGTCTTGGGGCCGTCTTCGGCGCGACGCTACTATCCAGCTCTCCCGAAGCGGCTCGAAGAAGGCATCGTTGAACTGTTGGGTCTGGTTTTGATGCTATCTTGGAGCTCTCTTGGGGCGGTCTTGGGGGCACCCCTGTACGGCCCCCAAGGCACCTCTGAGAATGGGTGGGGTCATCTTAAGGCTCTCTCAGGCCTTTGGAGCGAGCGTCGGACGCAGATACACAACCTCATCATCCTCAGGTTTTCGTCATTCTCGCCTCCTAGTCTCTTTGGGCGTCTCTCGAGCCTCTTGGGGCCTCTTTGGGGGTCTTCTTGGAGTCTTTCTTTTGGCGGGTCGTTGGGCCGTATTGGGTTGGTCTTGGGACGTCTTGCAGTCGGTCTTGGAGCAGACCTGGGCCGTCTTGGAGGCGTCCAGATGCTGAGAAGGGCGCTAGGAGACAAACCTAGAGTGGGTGTTTCTCGGGAGCGGGAGGTTGGTAAGTGGTTTGGTTTGACTCCGTTTGATATTATCAAAGAGGAGGGTGGCTGACCACCTTCCCGGTCTTCCAGAAGGAGCCGATGGGGTTTTTAATTGTTCGATGGGCTGTCCTCGCATTTGCCTTCGACGAGTTTTTGGAGAGGAGGGTTGACATGGGAGGCTTTGGCGCGGTCTCTTGA